TCTTGAAATTCATATATCTACATATGTGGATGAATCTATAGATCAGGCTGGCCTTAAATTTATGTACCTCAGTTTAGTCTTAGACTTATAGGAATTCTCCTGCCTCAGTCTCACAAGTGCTAGAATTACAGGTATGTTTCACCATATGGCTCTTTTATTTTAGTAAAATATTCTTAGTAATAATAATAATCACAGTTGTTCTCAAAGGTCAATTACACTATTTCTCTTTACCATAGTAATTATAAAGAAGTGTGAAATTTTCACTAATTGTTGCAAGGATAATTTCTTACCTTATTCCACAATTGTAGTTCTTGTTCTGACCGTATTCTTTGAGGTGATACTGGAGCACCTAGAGATTAATTTTTGAATACACATTATTGTTATTATATTATAGTTCTTTTCAAATTAGTTATTTCTATGCAATTCCTTTTCAGATTCCAGGTGTCATTTTTATTTGCTGTAAATTGCTATCAAGCCAATTCAACTAGATATGCCAGCATTTGATATTACATAAAAACCCATAATTATTAAAGAAATCCCAATAACACAGTGAAGATGTCTTAATACCCATAGCAGCCTTTTTATTTGCCTGAAAGAAGAAATGATCTAATAATATATGCAAGGCTGTGATAAGCACTTCAAATACATTATGCCCTTAATCATGTCAAACTTCTAGATAGGTATTATTATTACTATATTATTATTATTATTATTATTATTATTATTATTATTATTATTATTGTCAATTCATGACAAGAAAACAGAAGCAAGGGAGTTTGCCTAAGGCTACCTAAATCAATAGGTGTGGGTCACCTTGTCTCCCAAACTACCCACAAATCACAATCCTCTTGTCCAAGTTTCTTGAGTGTTGAAATTACATATGTGTGTCTCTATGCTTGGCTTCAATGTAGATTGCCGAACATCTCTGGCTGACATAAATCCTGCTGAGTTCTATTTCCCCTAAATCTACTACTTTATACTTAATATTGCCTCAAGTTCTAGCAGGCTTTTACTATTATTTAATTTGTTATAATAATAGTCACAATTAGCTACATTTTCTGTGGTATTAATCTGATTCGTGTGTGTGTGTGTGTGTGTGTGTGTGTGTGTTGGAACTCAAACCAAGGGCCATGAGCATACTAGGCCTTTCACTAACAATGCTAAGTCCTTTCTGTTGTAGTGAGTTTTAGAAACAACTTAGAAGCATCATATGGAGATTAAGTTCAGAACCTGGTGGAACTTCCTTTCCTGGAAAAATCCTTCACACAGTGATGCATTTCTCACCATACCATAAACATACTCGACAGGCACAGTTCCCTAATGAGCCACATTCTCACCTCCTGCTGCCTGCAGGAAAGGATTAAACTGTGATTTCAAATTTTTATTTAAAAAGTACCTGGAGATCTTCCTGAGTGAGACTCTGCTTGACAGGCATCTCTGTGACTTGTTTATCTTTATTTTATAGGTTTTTAGTAGTTGTCTGCACATATATATGTGCATATTGTGTGGCTAAGAAGGCCAGAAGTGAGTGTCAGATCCCATAGACAAAGTGCTTTGGGAGCAGAACCCAGGTCCTCTGCATGAGCAACCCATGTTTTAACCACTAAGCCATCTTGCCAGCTCTAGCATTTCAGTTCAAAGAATGCTGATTTTCCATTTCCAGCCCTTATCCTCCCAGGACAAAGTGAAGTTTCTAACTCAGCTATATGCCTTAGGCCAGACTCCCTCACCAAGACCACTGGAAGTCTGACTCCTTCTAAACCCCAAACTCCCACGAGACACTTAGAAATTGCCATTGTGCTTAACAGTTGTAACCACTTACATCAAAATCAAAAAAGGGATGTTTTGTGGCCCTTCTGCAAAACACAATAAGTACAGCCTCAGGATAAGAAAGCTGCAGAACCTAAACAAAAATGTTTTTCTGTAGTTGATAGAAATCCACTAGTGTCATCTGACTGAACTCAGAGGAACATTGCTGTTCTCTCCCCTTTTCTAGAGTTGATATGTTCCCCTCAAGCCCCTTGGTGTGTTAGTCTGGTTTCTTTTGGGTAAACTGTAAAGAAAGGAGGTTATTTTGTTCACAGTTTTGGAAACTGTACATCTAAGCTCCAACCTCCGTTGAGGGCCTCAGGATGGATAGAGAACCTGCTAGATCAGTGATTCTCAACCCTCCTGATGCTGGGACCCTCTAATAAAGTTCCTCATGTTGTGGTGACCCCCAACCATAAAATTATTTTCACTGATACTTCATTACTATAATTTTGCTGTTGTTATGAATCACAATGTAAATATTTAGGAGATGGAAGTTTGTTGAAGGGGTTGTGACCCAAAGATTGAGTGAGAGCCATTGTGGTCCAGTGATTGTGCAATGAGAGAGAAAGCCAGAGGGCAGGGAGGAGCCAGTCTCAATCTTGTAACAACCCACTCTCCAATGATCCAGAGTCCCAAGGGAACTCCTTTAATCCCTTCTGAGGGTGGACTAACACACCCTTTTACCTACTACCCAGACTAACACACCCAGTTACCTTCCAATGTCCCACTAACCCTGATTCACAAAGGCTCGCCATCTCTCACTGTTACCACACCAAGAACCAAGATTCCAAAACTTAAACTCTGGAAGGCATACTCAATCCATGTCACCTGGGATGTGGATGTACTGGCAGAAACTAGTACTTGCACTACTCTCCACATTTTCCCAAAACAACACCACTCTTTTCTTCTCAGTCATAAAAATGGCAGCTTTTGCTCACTTTTTATTGAGGTATTTCTACTTAAGCACTATGCAATTAAAGGTGGCATCCATGTCGTTCTTGCCAACACTTCTCTGTAGTTAGCATATGGGAAACAGTTACTATTAACTGAACATTAAGAATTAATCAATGAAGGAGAGATCTGGGTAGGAAAGACATTCATTGTTAGTCTTGGCCATTGTGTCTCTTACTGCCACAGGCATAATCAAGTGAGTGGCAGATACCCAAAGTATGTTCCTCTTTATGAGATATTACCCTCTCCTAACATATTCTCTCAGTTAACTATTTCCACTCGGCATGTCTGACTGGCCTTTATCATCCCACTAGCTCACTGCCCTTATGTGCTCTGCTCCTTTATTTTTCATTTTGCCTGAGAATACTACATTTATTGACACTTATTTTCTTCTGCTTCTATGGCATTTGTTTTTGACTCTTTTTTAGACATATCTAGTTACATTTATGTACTGATTGCTACTGTTAGATTATCTCCAACTCTTGCTTATGTATGCTATGTGTGTCCCTAAGCCCATGTTTAGGAGCTTGGGACTAACTGAAGATCACTCTGGCTATTCATCCTGCCCACTCTCCACCCCATTGCATTTTAAGAGAAATGTAATTTTTTTTCGTGTCTGAAAGGGAACAAAGGCAGAAAAAGCAGTCAGGGTACTTCCTGACAGTGCAGGAAGCCTTTTGCTTGAATAATACCAAAGTTATTTATGATGTGATAGGTCAGTCAGCAGATTTGCTCTTTTGGAAATAAAACTGAAGGCTCATCTGTTTTTGTTTGTTTGTTTGGTTTTTGTTTGTTTGGTTTTGGAACCTGCTATCCACCCAGTTCTCTAAGACAGTCATTTCCCACAGCTGCAGGAGCCATTGCAAGCACATGGCATGCAACATGCATGGAAAGCATAGCTCTTCCCCTAACAAAACAAATTTTAAAACTATAGTTATAGGGCTGGCTCTATGGCTAAGAGCACTGTGTGTTCTTCTAAGAGCCTGGGTTCAATTCCCAGAACCCTGATGGTAGCTCACAATTATCTATATAACTCTAGTCCCAGGGGATGCCACACTTTCTTCTGGCATCCCTGAACACCAGACATACACGTGAGGCACAGACATACATGCAGACAAAACACCCATACACATTAAATAAATAGAAATACAAATAAAGGTTATGATTATCTGACTACAGGTGCTTTATCTGCTACTTCCAGGCAATGTATTAAGTAAACCTGCTCTCTTAATAGACAAAACAAAAACACTATAATTATCTCTTTCCTTGAGAAGATAAATGAAATTATCATTCTAATATTTCCAATAAAATATTAAAAAGAGAAAAGGCTAATTTGGCTTTCATAAGTCATAGTGAATCGCTGTTGCAGAAGGTTAGTCTGCTACCACGTGGTTGCTATCTGGCTTTTCTTTCTTCCGAGGATAACCGGAGGGTGCTGGGGCTAGATCTCCGGTCTTCATGGTTGGCACCAGGCACCTTTACCAGATGGTACCTTGCTTTTCAAACGAGGAAGCCTGTTCTTCCTCAATGTCTCAGCAACAAAGATCAAACTAATGAAATGAAGGTGACAAAAACAGGTCAGGAAAAGAATATATTTGTCTCTGTCCGTCTCTACCTGAGGCTGGGCTGTGAGCTACGAAAGCGATCAGCGGCTGTGATGTTAAGTTCTCAATATTTCTGCTGACCTGGGCCTAGCCGGAGAATCCATGTTTACAACAATGCAGTGTTTGGAATTTGAAGAACCCTAATAATGCAGGAAGGAGTGATAGTGCCCCAGGTTACCTGGGAACTAAACTCTTTACAGAATCAACAGACACATTTTTGCCTGTGCCACTCATTCGAAGCATCAGACCTTCCTCCCTGGCTTTGCTGATCCTGTGCTTCCTGGGAGGTAAGCCAGGGAAGTCCCTGTTGTCATCAGATCCCACCTACATCATTAGAAACCCGGGTAAGCTTTGCACGGTCGCTTCAACTTTCTGTGATCAAAACTCTTAACCCTTCTGAAAACCTGTAAACCCCTCCTCCACATCGTATATCACTCAACATCTAGTTTATCAGGAGGCCGAGCACGCCCCAACTTTACTTCGCCTTGGCAAGGGGAGCAGCAGATTTTTGTCTCTCTGATAACTGCGATGAAAGGGAAAGTGTTTTAATTTTCTTTTAACTCCCACTACGGAGTCTGCAGTCAGCCCCTGTAGATTCCCCAGCTGGCTGCCCCTGTAGTCCTGGGCCAGCCAGACCATGGTTTCAGCGGAAGATGGGTCCTAGAAACCCAGGAAACAGGCAAGGAAGATAGAGAGAAACCGGTGCAGGGGGCGCCTGAGGGGCGCATGAAGCAGAAGGCAGAAGGTGGCATCTTACCTCTGCAGGCGTCTGCGAAGCAGGCGAGGAGCAGCAGCAGTGACAGGAGCGGAGATGCAGCCGCCACTTGTCCCCCAGACAACCCTGGGCGGCTACCCGCTGCTCTAGACATCTCCACTTCCAAGCAGCTCTGGACTGGAGATCAGGGACCCTGTGATGTGCTGGTGTTCTGGCTGTCCCTCAGCGTCCCGTCCCCGGTGTGTCTCTTGCTGAGCTCAGCCACCAAACTGACCATCACCGCGCGCGCTACCAACTTTTAAATCTCGCGCTCACGTGGGCTGAGCCGATGTGGTCTCCGCGCGCACGTGACCTCGCCGCCCCTGGCTCCATGGCGTCACCCGACCTGCTGCCGCCCCCGCGGGACATGCTCCCCCGGCCGGCCAGCCGGGTGTCTGACTCAGGGCACCACACAATTGGCTCTCAGCTGGAGAGTGAAATTAAACCATGGCGGTTCACTCCCACCTTGGTAGGAGCCAGAGGGGGTGTCAGCCTCCAGAGCCTGAAATCAGGGTGGTCAAGTTGGCAGAGGTGGCAACACTGTCCCCTGTGTCTCCTGGGATGCTACAGTATGCCTAGATCATTTGTGTGGGTCCCCTGGCCAGCAGCTACTTGAGCTCCGATCCTCCGGCTGTTGAAGTGCCCTTTTTCCTTCCCTGGTTGAGCTCCAGTTTGGTGCACAGTGCCCAGGGCATCAGAGTGATGCTTCTTCCACCACGAGGCAGTGAGGACGATGCTGTTCAAATGCCCATATACCTGCAAAGTCTGGAATCATACCTGGAGATGCAGATGTCAGTTTTAAAAGGTGATGAGGAAAGGACAGAGCTTGGGCACAGTTGTAGGGGTGTAGAAGGTGTGGTTGTTTGCGGGGCACAAGGCTATGGTGACCTTTTCTACCCTCTAATTCCCTGCAGAACCCCACTTCCGCTATCCCCACACTCCAGGAATCAGCCTCTAACAGGACACCGGGAAATACAATTCTAATTTCCTTCTGCAGAAGAAAGAGCAACTGATCTTATTTGACCTCTGTTTGAAAGGTGAGGAGCTCCGAGGAAAGGGCAGGAAGGAAGCACAGTACTGTTTCTTAACGGGGCTATTTTGGGGTCATGTAGCCATAGAACTTTCTCATATAATTGCCTTTAATATTCATGACATTTCTGCATAGAAAAGAAAAAAAACTATCGTAAAATACACTGTTAAAATGTGTGTAGGAAAATTCTGATTTAGAGAGAATGAACAACCTAGTCGAGCTTAGCATGGGAAAGAACATGGGTCATTCTATTCTGCCCATGGGCCTCTTTCTAAACCAGGAGCCAGGCATGAATACACAGCCCGCTATAAGCAAGGCAAGTCCCTTGAGGGAATCACAATTTAGGAGGAGGACCATTCCCTAAAGGTAATTAACCTTTGGTAAAGCATTCCAAATCCATGCCCATTAGCTGTTCGAGGTTCAGGGTAGAATGGAGCTGTATCACTGAAAATACAAAGAGAAGGAGGAACGAAGCCCTGATGGTCAGATAGAAAAAGAAATACTGGCTACTATTTTAAAGCTAATTGTATACAAGAAACACATGAGGAAGGCAAGATTATAAGGACGAAATGACTGAGAATTTGTTTGGTTGAAGATTGCTTGCATTTTGATATAATCCTGAAGTAGTAATACATGGATTGATGTAAGTGGCATGATGGAACTAAGTGACCTAAGAATGGGGCAGGAGCCTCAGAGGCAGGGAAGTTGTGGCTTTAGTCTTCCTCTCTCTTTTCTCTCAGAGGTCTCTGAAAAACCCCAGGTCTAAGCAGCCAGTGTGGTGTGGGTTGCCTTTACCACCGTCTCAGTGCCAGGAATGTAAAAGAAAAGGCATGCATTGCCTGAGCTGGGCTGCTCTGAATGTTCTCACATGTGTCCCTGGTGCACATGAGTGAGAGTTTTCGGAGGTGTATACCTAGGAATGGAATTATGAGGTGAGTGGGGATGATCTAGTTAAATTCTATTGTAAATAAGTTTTCAAATGGCTGTACTGTCTTACACTCCCATCAACAATGAATGAACTTTCCATGACTGCTAGCTTATGTAAAAAATCTTTGCCAGCCCAGTCAATGTGGCATGTCTCTGTGGATGTACTTTAAAGTAGAAACTTTATCAGTGAGACTGGTTGCCTTTTTGTAAGTATGTTGACCATTATTGTTTCTTCATGAGTGAACATCCATTGATCTCTTTTGCCCTCCACTTCACTTAGTTTGTTTGTGTTCTCACAGATCTATATAGAGGCTTTAAGTATTGTGGAACCTCTATTGGTTAAAACGCAACAGAAACCTCCCTACTTGTAGCTTCTTTACAATCTCATTTGAGTTTCCATTTTCGAAGATGTGTTTAAGGAAACATGGACTCAGAGGTCACATCACTCTGAGACATAGACAACAAGACAAGGTAGATGGGTAAATAGGAGCAGATTCATTTCCCTAGGAGCAAAGATTGAGAATAATTAAATGGAAGATGATTGTGTATATCTCTCTCTGTCCCAATAGTTTTTTTTAAAAAGCTAAACTCTAGATCTAGATTATATCTCAATTTCTGACTAAGAAAGAGGTCAGGACTAAATATGATGACATATTGGGTTGGACACTAGTGATCTTTGCAATTTAGTGAGAGGTAAATGTGCCTATTTTGTTACAAAAACCATATTTTGCTGTATATTGTCTTCTGTCTTCATTTATCTCTTCTAACTCTGTAGATATCAACCTCTCCCTTTCCAAAGTCGAGTCTTTTTATTGGAATGATGTTTGGATGGACTATTCTTACTGGAAATCACCTCCAGAGAAAGACTTTTCAGGAGACAACCAAAGGCATTATTTTATATAATGAATATACCACTTCAAACAATACTGTTTCATGTGACTAAAGATCAGCTGGAGACTGAGTGCACAGGGCAGCCAAATGTATAAGAGGAGGAAGGAAAAAGGTGGGGAGAGCAGGGGGCAGTGCTAAACACCTGTCAATCCAACCCTTAGGAGGCTAAGACATAAGAGTTCCAGTTGAGCCCAGACTACATTGCCAGACCCTCTCTCAGAAAACAGTAAATCAGAGCAAAACAGAACAACAACAACAATAAATACAAGAAAGAGAGGGATGCAAGCCAAGTAGGTCAAAGCTATTTAAGAATTTCAACTGGACGGTAATTAATGTTGGTAGGAGAGTGGGACACAGAACTATGAGAAATACATCTTTTGCAAGAGGGAAGCTTTGCTTGCTTTTGGCAATTGCTGTTAATAGTCACTTCAAGCATTTTCAAAAAATAATAAGCCATGCTATTCAAAAGCCTTCACCATTGAGTGATTTTCAGTTTTATCCAATCTATGCAGTCACTGTGAGGCCAAGTGACAGCAAGTGAAAGGACCATGTGAAAGTCCAAAGCCACCTTAGCTTCTGTTCTACAGAGAAAACTGGTTTGGGGACTCTTGAAGTCAGTTATCATTTGTAGGCAGGCCTCTAGTTACTGACTTCCTATCTGGAGGTCAGAACAGTTTGAGAAGCAACAGCACAAGGTTATCTCAGCTCGGAGGCATAAAATCCCTTTCAAAAGATGTAATAAAAGGCATGATGGATCCTATAATCTCAGCTGTTGGAAGACTGAGGCATCAGTTCAAAGCCAGCTTGGGTTACATAGCAAGCTTGAAGTCAGACTGGAAGAAGGAAGAAAGGATGGAAGGAAAGAAGGGAAGGAGAGAGGGAGGCGAGCAGGCAGGCAGTAAGGATTTTTAAAAGAGCAAAGGCAGTAGTTGGTGCTTGGTTGATTGATGCCTACGAGGCTAGGTTTTCACGTCATAGATGATCAGAGTATGAAGCCATTACAAGAAGCAGCAGTGTATTGCTAATTTGAGATGCCATATTAAAACATTCCAATCCATTGATAGCAGCATCTTTTCTTTGTTCCTTACATTGCAATTAGAATATTAATATACATCAATAAAAGATTTATTAGATTTTCTTGACACATTTGTGAATCATATCCGGACAAAGCTGGAAGATAAACACATACTCATAGGTTTATGAGTTTTATAAAAATGGAACCTAAAATTAAATGATAGCTATGAAAATACAAGGACAGATAGAGTAATTTTTGTTACTTCTACACAGTACATTGTATATCCATTTTAAATGACTAGACTGATTTTAATCCACCTAAAATAAATGAAAATATTTTATATTTCCTTAAAATGTTTATTTATGAAAATACATCAAATCCTTATATAGACATGTTCAGATCAATATTTTATTATTTTTTAGCCAAAAGCAATTGAAAAGAGGAAAATGGACATAATTTGACATTGTAAAGAAGTTAAAATAATTGAGAGACCTGGAATGTATTCCTAAATATAGAAAAAAGTGACATGTTAGTGGGTTTCGTGAAAGGGGTCACTACTTACTTAACCTCAAGTGTCCATTTTAGCTCTGGTTTTTAAATTAGACTACAGAGACATGGGTGGTGTAAGCTGTGTGTGTGTGTGTGTGTGTGTGTGTGTGTGTGTGTGTGTGTGTAGGTGTGTGGTTGTGTAGTGTGTTCCCATACATGTGTATCAGGTTGCTCTAAATTAAGTAATAGTTGCTATTATTTTAAGATATTTGTCTTCTAATAACAATAGGATTAGTCAATTTTGAGTAGTTCAGTTTGTTCACCTATAGTCAAATCCTTTTTTCTCAAAAATCAATCTGTACATATCCCAGAACTCTGATATTTAAGGCAGAAAACTGAGTTCAAGGCCAGCTTGTGCTGTATAGTGAGTTTGAGCCTACCCTGGCCCTTTTCTGTTTTTACCCAGTAGTGTGATTTCTGATGGGTGCTAATTGCAATGTTACTGAATCTCAGCCATAATTTAAATGTTTATGTACAAAAAGCCGGCCCACATGGTCTACATAGTGAGTTCCAGAACAGCCAGAGGACATAAGGACCACTCCCCCACCCACACACACACACAAAGAGGGAGAGAAAGAATAACTCAAGAGGCTAAAGTTTCAGGATTACAAATTTGAGGCCTGCCCAGGTTTACCAGAAGAGCTCAAGGCTAACTTGTCTTAAAACAAAACAACAGAATTTTTTAAAGCCCAGGGATATGGCT